CCACAGTGTGATGTAATACAGTGCAGATCAAATATATCCATATCACCACAGTGTGATGTAATGCGGGACAGATCAAATATCCATATCACCACAGTGTGATGTATATGGGAAAGATGGAATATCCATATCACCACAGTGTGATGTAATACGGGACAGATCAAATATCCATATCACCACAGTGTGATGTAATACAGCGCAGACGATATCTTCTAGATAACTGAATAAAGACGAAAACAAACACAATCCTGCGAGGATAGACATATTTGAGACATGTGAGAAGACATACTCAACCTATTGCAGCATACTTCAATGGCTTCAAGCACACATGTAACACACAAGAACTACTTTTAACATGTCAATGTATATTCGCTAACAGTAACAAGTTACACTAACCTAACACATATAAAAACAACAGAGTATAAAACTAAAATTACCTATGCTCGCCAACTCAAACTCATTTATGTTTTGCAGCACCAAAATATGCATACATTAAGTGAATTAATTAATACTGATGATTGGATGTCATAATTTGCATCAAATAAGCTTTGTTACAGCATCATTATTTGGTTGAAAGTCAGCCAGTTGATCAAAATAGCAGGTCTTTTTGAACAACTCAACTAGCTAGCTTGGGTGGTAAATTTTAGCATACACAGATATGTTTTTTCACTGACTTAATCAGAAAAGGATTACATGTAGTAACTATAGAAATGACTTCTGGAAAAAGATTAAAATGGTTATAAAGACCTATTTCACTCCATACACAGCAGTTGGAGGGTTATTGAATGGGACATTATATTTTCTGATGACATAAATGTTACTGCTAATGAGATGCAATGTGCAATTCACAAAGTAGACAGTAATAAATCATGTGCTGCTGATATAATTATGTTGAACATAATAAATAAATAGTTACCCCGGTAAATGGAAAACTAGCAAGATAATTATTTAATTGCAGGCCCATAGCTATTGGAATATGTGATGCAGTGCAGACTAGATGTTGATGGATGGATGGATGGATGGCTGGCTGAATGAATGAATGAATGAATGAATGAATGAATGAATGAATGAATGAATGAATGAATGAATGAATGAATGAATGAATAGTATCCTATTCAAGGTTCTGGAATATATGACAGAATTCCAGACTAGATGTGGAATTAAGAAGAAACAAGGTAATAATTTACAATATATGCACTGAAAGCAATTGTTCACATATACTGCGGCCTTAAAGTGCCTGTGCAATGCCCACCCACACGCTTCCCATTTTAGATCTGATTTTTTGATTTTTGTGCTGAAAATGATTACTCTTATCCAAGTACATTTGAGATATTTCCCGTGCTGTAGCCACGCCCAGTGAAAGTGCACCACCAAATGCTAAAATATGAGAGGAAGCCATACTCCTGGGCCGTACTTTTATATCACTGTGTCATTCAACATACTTTTAAACAATATACATTTTTTGATCGGCGTTTTTTTTTTTTGTCTATTTTATTTTATTTTTGAGAGAGTGAATTTTTGAAGTTGTTTTCACAACAAACATTTTTGATGAACATTGTGTTGTGGGCAGTTGCAGTAATGTGCATTTATACGTTTCCAATCGATCCAAAGGTGAGAAATCAGTGGACGAAAGCCGTGAAAATAATGAGAAATGGTTGGGGTGGACTTCCTCCTTACAGCGTCATATGTAGTGTCCACTTCACCTCAGATTCTGTTTTTCGAAAACTAGGTTTTAACGAGAAATGCCAACAACTTAAACCAGGCGCAATACAAAACGTTTTCGAAAAAATAGATTCCGGACCAGCCCATGATCACTGAGGCGGATTTCAGAAGGGAGAGAGACGTCGAGTAAGTGTTTCAAATGATTTGATTGTTTTTCCGATCTTGATCGCTTTATAGAGACCAGCAGTGTTATGTAAAAGGTAGCAGTAATTTTGATAATGACACGAAAACGAAACCTCGGACAAACAGGAAATTGCGCAGCCCTCAGGCTGTTTTCATTTTCGCAGGCTAAAAGTGTCTGAATTGTTCAGTGATTGGTGTTGAATGTCGAATTCACACCTTTGTTGCCTTTACTTGCAGCTTGATCTGCATAATAATTTATGGAATAAGAATCCGGGCTTGGGCTGTCAATGCATTTTTTTAATATAATCACTGGATTTTAATAAAATCACGCTAAATCCACTCTGAATTTGTCTGTATGTAAGTCGCTCTGCATTTTTGTTATCCAATAAAACGACACCATTCATGCACGCATTCATGACCCGACGCGTTCACCTATTGCAACAAATTTATTGCACTGTCCAGCGACAGTGTACAAACGTGCGCCAGTGACTAGCTACACCAGACAGGACATATTTCGCTTCTGACTCAACCTCATGCAACAAACTTCATACTAAGTCTATGTGTTCATTATGGTCCATTCTTCCTCGACGAACAAGTACCTAAGTGGCAATTTAGTCAAAGACGAGAAAACAGCACAAGAAATTTGCCTTATTTACATGTATCGGCAATGCAAGCTACCCAGCAAATTCCCCTTCTGACGTCACAGGGGGAATTTCTGTTTGCAAATAAGAAGCTAATGAGGAGCCTCGTTTTAAAATACACAAAAATAAAGTTGCCGTAGACTGAGTTTAAAACACATTTTTTCACTTAAAAAAATAATTTATGCATACAAATATAAAAATTAATAATATTTATGTATCAATGGATAATTTTAGGTGTGAAAATAGCAGCCATTTCACAGGCACTTTAATGCAACGTTGTTTCTCTGTTTCTGGAAGCCTCAAAGGCATTTAAGAGAACCAATCATGTTCAATTATTTTAGAAACTTATACGTCATGACACATAGGTCTATCAAATCAGAATATTAATGTACTGGTATGTATGCATCAGATGATTGCATGAAGAATGAATGAAGGCGCTACAAATGACACTCCAATCATCATTTATCATAGAATATGCTAGATTACTCATCAAAAACATTCCCATGGGGACAGGATAACGATACTAATGTTGCTTAATTTATAATATGAATAAATTGACAATTATACACACCAAAACCATCTGACATCCTTAATTGAAAGAAACAGATTTCAATTAATATCTAAAAATGTATTATTTTATGTTCACTGTGACAGTCAACTGTTCAATGTCAACGCTGACATTACACGTGAACTACATTATCACCTGTACTGAAACATTCAAAAATACCATGTAACTTACAGCTACATATTTTACAGTGATAAGGCGAACTTTTGTTGCTAGAATTTCTAAAAAATATGACTCAATCGATTTATACTGTAGATTAGATTGACTAATTCTACACGACAGTTTTATTTTATTCTACCGTGGACTGTATATTGTAAGCACGCACATAAAGTAAGTATTACAACCGCGGTATGTGTTCATCAATCCGTACGTTTATTGCCAACATCATATTTTGAAAATATTTAGGCTTGAATGTTGCCTGTAACTTTAATGTTTGTACAATATGAATACTGGTTTGTTTGCAACGGTTAATTCCTAAATTGATATTGGAATCGCGTCCTATTTTTTTACATACACTGTCCCATCGTCAGTTAATCGGCTTTGATTGTCGAACTATTAGCGATATAAAACACATATTCTTACCTCATAGACCGCGTCTTCTGTTTCTGAGACATATTTGAGCCGTAAAATTGGCGAATTCGGCAACAAAGTGACTAAAATACAACATAAATTCACCAATTTTCCGGCCGCCTGTCTACTATATAAGGAGGGGTTAACACGCATGCGCACTAGCGGTATCACGTGTCCTTGACGTAATTCTAGGAAATCCCACTTGCAAAAAACAGGGAATCCCCAATTTTCTCAGTGAAGGCTGGAACCTCGGCAAACTTCCCAAGACGCCGCGTTTATGTGTTTGACTGGATTCGAGTAAACATAATTCTCAATATGTTTTAACAATGTAATAATAGTAATTGTGTTTACTTTATTCATTACTATGTTGAATTTTTGAACACTTTGGTGTATCGAATATAAATCATGATGAGAAATGGTTTAAAACTACAACCATTTTTTATATCTTTTACGATTACCCAATAATTATACCCGAGAGCCTAAAAACATGACGATCGGCACGTCTCCGGTTGGCGACTTGTGCTCATGAGAATAACATTACAAACATCCACAAGTTGATACCATACGTACATGTACGTGTATAAAACGAAAACAGATATGGTCATTCACATAAATAAATAAATTCATTGCTGGTAGGTACTAACACGTAGTTTAGCGCCATGCAAAACAATATATATTTTTATTTTATATAACATATTTATTATTATAGTTTTCCGATAATTACCGTCAACATTGTACTGATATTGCAAATTCTACAGTGAAAATGTGGCCATCAACTCATTTAAAATAACACATTTACATGGGGCCGTAAGTGGCAGCCTACCCAGATGCCCACACGGAATCGAATTTCTGTAGTTACCGTGACGATTTATCATGGTATAACCAAATTAATGTTCCAAGACAATTACATCATTATTTTTCATAAATATGAAAATTAAGTATGGGTCATTCCGACGTTTGCAATGACAACTTCATTATTTCTTTTACAGAAAAAATATAGGGGCGGGCAGAAAATATCTATTTGAATAGATAGGCTATTGGAAAGTTGGACATAGGGATAGATGGTTACTGGTGGTAACCCCACGTAGGCTATGTAATTCGTTTTAGAAAGAAAGTTTACACTAACTACCTACTTTTCTCTTAGAAAGTTGCAACATTCCCCGGTGAGGTACTCACCTCGATTTAGGAGGAGTTGCAGGCAGTTGAAAAACTTCACCTAACCAATTCACCTTCAATTATGGGAGTTCAGCATAATGACCATACCTTATATATGCAGCTTTGAAAACAAACATTACTTAGTTTCAAGTAAAAAACTATGTTTGTGTGTAGTCGCATTTCCGTTCGTAAGTTTCTGGGCAATGTAATCAAAATAATGTGAGAATGTAATTTTAAATTTTGTCCCGGGGTAAATGGCTGTGCTTTAATTTTCCCCCCGTTTTCTGTGTTGTCATTTGTGATGTAAGCCAAGTTCAATTTGATGTATATATTTTTGCGTGGTCATGCTCAATGGTGTGTTCGTCAGTGAGCTTATTGCAGAATGCTTTGTTGTGACTACAGAAGTCCATGTCTCGAACATTGTAGGCATTTTCTGGGAAGGCAGTGCAGCTATTTTATTGTGATCAATAAGTAATTTAGTCACCTGGTTTCGTTGTTGAATCAAAGTTTATATATCCATATGTCATGTGAATAGAATAGAATAGAATAGAATAGAATAGAATAGAATAGAATAGAAAGAGTTAACATTTCTTTTTAGGTTTTCAGATTAATAAAGTAAATAATAAAAGTACATGAAATGTAAAAATTGATTTAAAAAAGAACTACTAATAATAATATAAGAAATATTAAAATACTGTGATATGTAAGTATATCTGTATGCAGCACAGAATATGTATAAAATATAAAAGAACATGACAAAATAAAAGAATTAGTCTTGTTTATATTTAACTAAATATTTGCAGAGAGTGATAAGATGGTTTGTATTTGGTGACTGTAGTACAAGTTTAAATTGTTTAAGTTTTGGTAATCACTGTTAATTTCAATAAGAATACTATATAATGTCATCTCTGTGTTCTGTGTACAGTTTACATTCTAGTAAATGATGTTATTCATCCTCTATTTCTTTACAGTGGGTGCATAATCTGTCTTTTATCAGTGTTTTTTGGTTTTGTGTACCTTCATGTTTCTATAGCTAGTTTGTGACTACTTGTTCTTGTGATGTAACACTGGTGTTACTTTTACTGTTGATGGAGCAAACTGAGGTACATGGGAAGACTAGCCAGTCCCAGTTTGCCTCCTTTTCAATTCTCGACCGACTCTCAGTTCAAGTACAGTAAATAACCAAGATATTATATTATGTATGAACATGAGATTCGAACTCACAGCATAGCAAATGTGCATGTCGTGCTCCATGTTACACTTCAACAGACTGTCTTAAAAATGAATGCAAAAGTTATTTTCCACTGCAGATCATAAGTTTTTACAGAATTCAACTCTGTCCACATGTAGTTCTACTTTGTAATTTTGTCTAACTGCCGTTTTTGAAGCTGTCTGAAGATATATTGTTAATAATTTTACAAGTTCAGACGTATTTGTTTCAAAATTGTAGTTGCTCTTTCCATGTCAAAGTGTTTTCTATACACATAAACACAATATCCAAACTGTCATTCTTGAATCCAGTTGGTAATCACAACACCATCATAGTAAATCTGAAAAAAATTACCCTGGTTCTCTTACAATGAAATGTTTTTAGTAAAATCTTTTTCTAACCATGAAAATCTTGTGAAAACCGAAGAACAAAATTAAACTTACCATTCTCTGGCATTGTCTCAGTAGAAAAGAGTAATGCATGTTATGACTTATTGCTACACTGGGCTCAGGCCTGAGATGTATATGAGGGTAAGCTCACTTGCAACTCTGGTAAAATGTGATTAATCCACAAGGTGAGTCTGCTTGAAAGATGGTTATGTTGTCAGTAAGAGCATGCAACTTGCTGCCCCCCCCCCCAACCTGATACCAAATCTACCAAGGAAAGTGTCTTATTTGACCAATCGACAAGAGGTAAAACACAAAGCAGATCATATAGAGGTTTATGAAGAAGCGTAAACACTAAGACAATGACCAAAATAGGGTAGACACATTTGGAGATGCAGTACTCGGCGAGTGAGTTAACCCCTCGATAAATGCCTTAACATCATCCATCCAAACTGAACCTGTTTCCTGTGTTAACCATGTAGTCTACTAACTAGCATAGAGGGATAGAAAGGGTATGTTTTTTGTTGAAGACATCAAGACTACTAATAACCACACCTGTCGCTGACCAATGCATACCTGTCACTAGGAAGTGTAAACGTTTGCTTTCAACCTGGAATATCCGATCTCTCTGTAATAAAGCACCTGAAGTAGGAGACTATATCACTGACGATGACATTGACATTATCGCACTGACTGAAACCTGGATGAAAGAAAATACTAATGAACATGTCATTATTGAATGGCACCCCTAATGGATACTCCTTCAAGCATACTCCACGCAACACGTCATCTGGCGGTGGTATTGCACTCATCTACAAATCTTCACTGAAGTTATCTACCTGGAAACCTATCACCAACATCAAATAATTTGAAGCTACAGAAGCCACGCTGATACACCAAGGAATTGCTCTCAAATTTGTCATCTTATATCGGCCACCACCTAGTGTTAAGGACAAACTCACTGTGTCACAGTTCCTCCTCGAATTTGGGGCCATGCTTGAGAAATATGGTTCATACAATGGTAATATGTTCATTGTTGGTGACTTTAATTTGCATATCGACGATCAACT